GCAATTTATGGATCAGATTTTGAGAAATGTTCGTCTGGGCGTTGATATGCAATGACTGCACCATCAAGTGGCCCATGCGACACCAAGCCGAAGCCTGTTACGCGCGGAACCCAGGCAGAAACGCAGCCCTCCTCCCGCCCAACCGACCGAGAGGCGCTGCCGCATGACGCGCGACGCGTGTTACCGAACCGATCGCGAGCATGCAGAAAAGATAGGTGTTAGACTAAAATTCGAGGAAAATTAGAGCTAAACACAACTCAAAGAGCTAAACATGCAAAGATAGCTAAGAAATATAACTAATTACGGGAAAGGTATGTTAGTATTGGTGATTTAAGAAGAGGAAAGGAATTAGTAGTTGATATTATGTGGTAGAGGGAATTGAAGTCCGAGCAAAGGACCCTAAATGGTTCGTGCAAGGAATAATTCGATATACAAAGCGGAAGGAACAAAGGAATGAAGTTTCTAGTAGATCTAATAGGAATCGTAAAGTTTATGCGGCTCAACAAGTCAGGGCTATCTACGTCACCTTTGATCAGGTTGTGCATAAAAATCACACCAAGCATTTTTCTACGACAAACTAAGGTTGGAAGGTTTATTAAAAGCAATCTACGAGGATAAGATGGCAGTCTCACACCTGCATCCCAGTTAAGGCCACGCAGAGCAAAAAGTAAAATATTTTCTGGACTGATTCTATACGGTCCTGGTGTACTTTGTACTGGGGGCACCATACGCAAGAGCCGTACTCTAAAATCGGACGAACAAGCGAGATGTAGAGAGTCTTCGTTATATAGGGGTCGTCAAATTCCTTTGACCACCTCTTTATAAACCCAAGCACACCCATGGCCTTATTTACCATGGTAGAAATGTGTTCAGAAAACTTTAACTTTGGGTCTAATTTAACACAAAGATCATCAACCAAGGTAATTCTCTCAAGAGAACCACCGCAGAGGCTATAAGGAGCCAAAAGGGGGCTGGAGCGATGAAATGTCATTACTTTGCATTTCGAGGCATTTAGGTGTAACATATTTGCACAACACCATGATTGAAAGTTATTGAGATCGGATTGCAAGCGAGAGTGAAATGAAATGTCCTTATACTGGACACAAAGTTTAACATCATCCGCATACATGAGTACTCGAGAGTTTGTTAATACTGAAGGCAGGTCATTAATAAAGAGTGTGAATAGTAGGGAGCCTAGATGGCTGCCCTGGATCGTGAAAATAGTACGATCCATTGGTCTCGTGTATGATGGATTGCTTTTGGCTTAAATCGATAGCTATCTGGACTATTTACATGCAGTGAGGTCTTGGGCGCACTCTTATGTGCGTCCGCGCAAGGCAGATGCTCAGTAATTTATTCAACGTGGCTTCGTCATGTGCGCGTTCATCAGGAAAACTTGATCAGGGATCAGTGATGAACTTCATCCATCAGGTTTCGAGTTCTGGTGAACATGTATAATCCATACATTACTATCGTGACGTCGCCAATAAAATCGGCTCAGAACCTATCGATATTGGCTTCAAACCTTCGCGACTTGCAGTAATAAATAGTCACATAAAATTGGAATATTCTTTGTAAAGCCTTGTACTTAGACGCGCTAAATTTCCGTCGACCGAATCGTATGAAAACGATAAAAAAGCATGCCATACTTCGTTCGACCGAAAATTTAGCAGGCGTTGCGCAGATCAGTACTCAGTGCGAAAAAAATACAAGCCGATAGATACTGGAAAAGAAACCAATGGTATTTTCCCACATCGAGCGGAATATAGAATATGTCAACCAAAAGACATCCATCATACACGATCGTACTATTTTCACGATCCATTTCTCAAAATCGAATCAATAAATTCTTGCATCAAAAACACTAATCAAGTGCGTTCACTAGAAGTATCGTAAAAAATCCAACACTGATCGCTGATCAAGTTGTCCTGGTTAGCGCGCCCCACTGTATTTGGTGCAGGAGAAAAATCTCTATATAACTTCAGTGATCAAAAACATGCAGATGTACATACATAGTTCCACAATCTGGACCATACTCGGACTCACCTTTCCGTGGTGGGTTCTGCGCATATCAGCGGCTGCTTCAGCTCAATGGCCTGGCCGTTTTTCTCCTTCAGCTCCCCATTCTCCATATAATATTGTACCAGTTCCGGCAGTGTGGCAAACTTTTCACCTGCAAGGTCGAGGAAGGTTAGAAGACTCTTTTGGTAACACGGAGGACCACTTACCGCCATAGAGATCAAAGAAGTCGCCATTGTTTTGGATTTTGATGTGTGTAACTTCGTTGCCACGGCGAACGGAGAGCGTAAAGGCGCCCGGATTCGAGGAGGAGAGACGTGCAAGAAACGAGCCATCAAAACCTTCCTCCTGTAGTAATTTCTCAGCTTCGATGCCAGATATCGTTGGGTGGAACCATCTGCGCGGGTAAACAAAGGATCATCATGGTGATAGTCATAGATTTGTTTATTTACTACTGATCGTGCATTTCCTGAATAATAATGTATCTACATATGTATGCACATGCCATTCCATCAAACCTCATTCTCATTCCCTGCCTCAATCTCGCCACAAGGCCGATTTGATTTGATTCGATTCGGTACCCCAAACCATGTCGGACCCAGGCCAGCCCCATCAACAGCTGTAAGTGTTACAGTTCATTAGGCTGCCCCTGCTTCGTTCCCAGTGCTGATGATGGGCCGGGGGGCAATTCTTTTGCACTTTGTTGCACTTTTTATCTCAAAAATGTTGTTTCTGCTTCTTTTTGCCGTTTGTATATACTTATACATATGTAAATAGCCCAGTTGGGAGCGTGTGCCGTGTATGTGTTCGAGTGTGCGTTTGAACCAATGTGTTGGGCCCTGTGGTGGAGACGACGAGGGTAACGTGCGTACGTATGCCATGCACTTGCCTCTGTATGCGTGAGAGCGGGCGGGTGTGTGTGTAAGTATATTGTCGTATTTCTTATTGGATTTACCTTCGCGATGACATTTTCTTATTGAATGCGCACTTAAAAAATAAATTAATGGTACACCAACGAAAAAAAATGAAACTTATGTCTATATGATTTGTTTAAACTTATTTTACGGTTGGATTTGGATACAAAAAAAAAAAACTATGGATAGGATAGGCTAGTCGTAGTGATGGGAACTATCGACAGCTTTGCCTATCGATAGCTATCGGCCATAGAGCACAACATTTGCACCAAACAGCACTGTCTGCTCTTGCGACTAAGAGCGTATGAAAAATACTGAAAACTACAGTACAGTAAAGCCCATTTATAGCCTTTTTACACTGCCGCGCGTTTGCTATCGATATCGGAATAAACGCATTGACGCAGAATAGGCTTAACATTCGCAGACGCAGGAAGGATCAGCTAAATTTTTTGCCGACAAAAAGTACCATATAATTCGCTAGGGCAGAGTGACAGTTGTGCATGCAACTGTATTAAAGCAAGAAGAAATGTATTATTTTTGGACGCAGTCTAGCTGGAGGACGGCTATGCACAGAGAAAAAACCGCAATATTGGATAAATTCGTTCCTGCGGGACAGAAATGCAATTAACATGCTTTTATCTCCTCATAAATTAAGAAAATGAGTATCGGGTATACAATTATTTCCTTCCATTTTTAATGTGTCTGTGTTCATGTGTTTTATATATTTATATTTATATATTTCGCTCGGGCCCTGGAAATACCGTCAGCTGCTTTTTCAGTACTAATCGGTATTTTTGTTTTCGGATCTAGTTAAAAGCCAGCCGGTAAATTTTTTGTCGAACAAGGGGGAAGGGATGATTTGAAAACAAACACAAAACAGTGTAACCGTAGAGCATACACTTTGTCCACTTTGGTCACACTGGGCACCAAGACCCTCGGTCGGCAGAAAATTTAGCGCGTCTGAGTACTAGGTTTAGCTAGCTAACATTTGTTGGAACTCAGTTCTATGCTGAAGATAACAAAACAGGTATACATATGGGCATAATCCTGCGTTGCGGACGTTACATTCACACGCAAATTTGCTTGTTCAAATTGACACAGAAGGCGTTCATATTAGTATATTTTCATGAAATTTTTACGAAATGCAGATCTTTGGACGTTCTTTTCAACTTACTTTAAAAGAAAAGGTTAACTGTTTTTGAAAAAATGTATGCTTGCTTTAATTTTCGTTACGGGCGTTACAAAAAATGGAAGTCGACTTTGAGGCTGCATGCATTTGCACATTTTTTTAGTAAATTTTGCATAATAAACAAACAAAAAATCACATGCAACAAATTATGTGGAATATATGACCATATTAATCCAGCAAAGAAAATAAGCATAAGCAGTCCCGTTGAAAAGAAATCGTAATTTTAATCTGTTACGGACGTTAGACTTTTCCCATCAAGCCAAATTGTGTAAATAAAAAATATTAATATATTTGCAAATCTTTTTAACCTTGAACTTATTAATTTATCACTTAGAAAACAAGAATAAAATATTTCGTTAACATTATATTACGGATTTTCGGCCACCTAGACCTTTTTAAAGTCTAGATTTATATTCAGCAGGTGAAAAAATAAACTTTTTGAGTATTCATGCCGTTACGGACTTTGCCATTAGTATTTTAAAAAAATGTGTAATAAAGATTTTTTTTTTTCATCAGATTAAAGTGCATAGAAAACTCTGTTTATAAAGCTATTGTGGAACAAATTTGTTAAAACTCATTCTGTTCAAATAAAATCAAGAAGGAACGTGTGAGTCGCTTCTGGGGACGCGACTCTACTCATACCCGTACTCAGTCAGTATATACAGTTTTGAGCAAATGATTTTTTAGAATTTTAGAATAAAAAATGGGTATAACGGGCATAATGAATAAGTAACGATGATTATGTTGGCGTCTTTTTAATAAAATTTGTGATTTTTAAATATTGTTTGGGCGTTCGGATTTTCTTTTGTGAGGCAACCTAAACGTTGACCTAAGCGAGAGTCATATACATACCATTTTCAGTTTTGTAAACATCTATTAATTTGCATTTGGTTTTTCGTTTATTATTATGAAGCGTGACAACATATGTATTTATGTTTAATTCACATATACATAGGTATTTATATAATCTTAAACATGTATGCATTTTCTCTGTGTGTGTTTGTCATTTATATTAACATCTATATATATAGGCATTTATGCATATTGTTTACTAACAAAGGTACCTAAGATTTGCATTAGATGTGATGTATTGAATTATTCCCCCATCCGAGAAAAATGAACCGATCGACGATCGATTATTGCTCAGTAGCGGAAACTCCTCTACCGGTGGTGACTATGGGTAAGCTCCGGAGTCCCAATGGAGATTCTGTCACCGTTTTATTTTATCTTTGGTTTTTCTGTTTACTCTTCGTGAAATGTAATACATGATATAAATGTTGTTTTTGTTGGACTTGACGATGCGACTTTTATATAATTGTAATTTTTTTTAAATTTATGTATATATGTATATTTTTTGTTTGTTTTGGATTCTTTGTTTTTCGTAGATCTGAGTGTGAAAGTAGCTTAATAATTAAATATGACAGAAAGCGTCGTATTGAAAACAACAGCACTATGCGCATGACTGATTTTGTAACTGTTTTTCTTTTGTTCTATTTTATTTTTAGTATTTTTTTATTTATTCTTGCTTGGTAAAAGTAAATAACACAGCGTATCTATGCAAATTAAAATTACATTAATCCCTTTCATAATTTTTGTTTGAAACAAAACAGAACGCGTTTTATGGCCATGAGCAAATAAATATAAAAAAAAAACAAACAAAAACGCTAAAAGAATTTATATGAAAGCATACAGTGAAGCGACATCAATCGCTTGAAAAAAACTCCCGTCTCAAACGATGCAATTTGGACGCTTAAGTTTGCATAAAACGAGGAACACATTTGGAATCGGCAGCGGTTTTTGGAAAGGTCCCTATCCAACTAGAGGTCTGCGGCCATACACAACTTAAAATCTATACATACAAGTTACATATGGTACAAGCTAGGGATTTGCTGCCGAACAACGAAAGTCCTGTTTGGATCGATCAATACAGCGAGATTTAATGTGAACTAAACAATAAATTTATATATACATCCTCTGTGCAATCTCTGCAATCTGTGCAATAGAGACAATTTGCCATTCGCCTCCTTAGAAATTAAAGATCCATTTGTGTATGTATATATGTAGATATATTAAGCTTAGTTGGAATCAGCTCTCTAACAATATGACTCGATAAACTGGCTGGAGCGAAATTTCCAAGTGGATTTGATTCGAGATAGTTGAGTATAATCGCTTTGAGGAGGACTGTCTAGCATACTCTCCTCCAAAAATATTTAATTAGATATTTACGTCTAGGTATGTATGTATGTATGTGTTACATGTTTTTTGTTACATATTTGATCTATATATAGAAATCTCATCATCAATCTTCTTTAGCATTTTCAGTGGCTGAGAAAGTGTTTTCAGAAACGGATCGCAATTAAAAAAATTTAAATAATCGTTTAGAATACAAAACTAATCATTAAATTATAATTTATATATGCATGTACGTATGTATATAGATGTATATGGTATAGTTATATAAACACAGAAAGAGAGATAGAGCGATAGATTGGGTTCCTTAGCAGTTACATCGCTTATGTGGGGCAGAGCACCTTCAGTATGTAGTCCGTGAGAAGAGCTGGCACTGTCGGGCTGTCTTCATTTATTGCCTTGAGTACTGCGAGAGGGAGAAACATTAGTGCTGGAACGATTGCTATTCTCTTTGGAACTTACTCTTGATTAGAACCTGTAGGGACTGATTGTTGGGCGTGCCGTTCTCTAGGTGATACGGAATAACAGTGGTCAAATATTTGGGCTCGGGACCTGCAAGTATCAATCAATATTATAATCAATTAATCAATTAAGAATGGTATAGTCGATCTTCCGACTAACGAATAATCGATTAAAATTGTATTGTAATTATATATACCTACGTATGTACATATATTTATATTATATTTATATTCATAAGTATATACAGTAGGGAGCAAAAGTGAGTACATACTCATAGCCACTGACTTTCGTCGCCCATAAAAGTTAAACGAATAAAGCAAGCCAACTCAATTTTTATAATATATCAATTATTTCATTCCTAACCAATAGGCATTAATAACAAAAACAAATGAGAAGCTTTTATAGAGCTTAAAATAAAAATAAACGAGAAGGAACGTGCGAGTCGCTTCTGGGGACGCGACTCTACTTATACCCGTACTCAGTCAGTATATACATATTTGAGCATATGATTTTTTAGAATTTTAGAATTAAAAAAAAAATTTTACATTTTACATTTTTTTGCTACATCTGTTATCTACATCTACATATATTATGTATATTCTACATCTAACATGTAGATTATACATGTACCATTTAGATTCTACATCTCCTCCGCTAGGGGTTGCTCGCGCACTGAACGCGGCAGAGTGTGCGAGCGAGAAGGAAAATGAGTTGCTTGGTTGTTGTCAGGAGGGGGCAGAGAAGCAATTAATTTCTTCATTCTGGCTATAATTATGATCCGATCTAATTCAGACGGAGATCGCTATATCGACTCGGCTATTGATGCTGATTAAGAATATATATATGGGGTCGGAAACGTTTCCTTCTCTGCGTTGCACACATCCACTTTTACTACAAATCTAATAAGTATACCCCTTAACTCTTTTTTGAGTACGGGTATAAAAACAACTCGCTTTTCGTCACTTGCATTTATTTTTGCTTTCTCAAGCTTCTTATCAACAATAAACACGCAGATTTAACGTTCAATTTCTTCGTCTTGTATTCTTGCTATACTTACATCAAATTAAGATGTGTTTCTTACAAATCGAAGCAGAGTAATTGAATTTAATAAGTAGTGCCTATCTTGTGCTTGAAAATTAAAAAATCATAGCCAGAAATTTAAAATAGCAGCTTATAGCGGCTGTTCGACACGTACTATTGCTGAAAAGCTTGGCATTGATCAATCGGTGGTGACAGAGGCCAAACAGCAAGTCTGAGGCCGCTCTAGGGCCATTAACAGACTCTGACGCAAGACTTATGACTTTTATCGGAAATTAGGAAAAATAAGTTGAAAACACCAAAGGATGCTTCCCAATATTGGGTAAATATTGAACTAGAGTAAAAAAGCGTCTCAATCGAGATTCCTTGAAGTGATGTTGTTGTTTAAGTATGAGTTATGCTCTAGTTGGTGCTCCAGCAGTTAAGGGAGACTCGTAAATAAAAAATAACAACAAAAAAACCGGTGTATGCACATTAGAGTGGGCTGAAAATCCAAAATGTTTGAATCTTAGGTCGGCCCGGTATAGAAAAGTTTTATTTAGGAATTCTAAGGCGAGGGCAAACAAAATATATGAAACGGGGGGGGGCCGCCCGGGGGGGGGGGGGGGGGGGGGGGGGGGGGGGGCCGGGGGGGGGGCGGGGCCGGGGGGCCCAAAGTTAACGAGCATCGAGTAAAAAAAATCCGCCTTTGGCCAAGTTAGTCAAAATTTGGGTATATGTGTAATTCAGGAGTCTGTACTCCTTCAAAACAAGAAAAAAACCGTTGATAGACCGTGAGTTATACAAATTTTTGGATTTTCAGCCCACTCTAATGTACATATGTATGTATGTGGGTACTCAAAATTAGAGGGTAAAATACAGACACGGGTATCGTAGACAAAACTTTTGTCATGTTATTCTAATCTCTAGTCACACATTAAATAAACCCTAAAGCTACCATTGCAAGTTCCAATTTGGAACAATGGATCTGCAGTGTTTTAAAGGCTTGGCCTTATATTTTGACTTTTCTTAATACTGACTTTAAAAATATATATAAACAAGACCTAAGTATTTAGGGAACAAAAGATTCTAAAACCTTCCCGGGTGTTCGTTTTGGACGAGTGTTTATTCAGGCAGGCTAGGATAATATGGAGTTGGAAACGCATTCGGCTGCCTAGATTTTAAATATCCACCCCTGCAGGCTGAAGTATACAAGTAGAAGGAGAAAAGAGTATCCCTGACGTTCCGACACCTACCCTGGAACTTTCCACGCTTCTTCTCCACGTGGTATTGTCGACGCTTGTTTTGCACGGCCAGCAGCAGGGAAATGAATGAGTTCTTTAGCTCCTTCTCGTACTCGAGCTCGTCGCGCAGCGCCAGCTCGTTGATAAGAGTCTCACTCAATTCCTGAATCAGCACCTCCATCTCCATGTACAGCTCGTTCAACTGTGTAGTGGTCAGATATTGCAGCTCTTATGGGGAAGTGTAAGATATTAGTTTCAACTAAATTGAATTCGGTTTATTTCTTACTTTCTGCATAGAGGGGCGTCCCAAGCACTTCGCGCGCCTTTTCTATGACCTCCGACTCGCAGGTGTCGGGCTCATCCAAAGGACTCTCCGCCTCGTCCATGATGTCATCAATCTCCTTGATGACCTCCTCAACCGTCTTAATGGGTTGGTCGTCGATGTCCCCGTTTAGGCCGTTCAGGATCAGTGCGTGCATGTCCAAGTCGTTGGCTACCGCCTCATCCTCGCTGGCCAGATCGTTAAACTCGTCCCCGCCTGGAGTGTGTGGATACGAGTGCTGGTGTTTCTGGAGCTGGTGCTGATTGCGCTGATGCTGCTGCTGCTTTGTGTGACTTTGGCCCAGGTTTAGAGTGGGCATGTGCATCTGACGGGTGTACGACTTGGACCAGTCGATGGGAAGAATGTTTCCAAAGTTTCCCGTGATGGTCCACCACATTCTGAAAAGAAAAGCAGAGACTTGAAGTTAGGTTACGTTTGAGCTATTTGAAGTATAAAACAGTCGAAACGTTGTACATAGTTCGCGGTACACGTTCTTCGACCTACTAATACACGGTACTCAGTCAGTAGGTATACATATATACAAATATGTACACACTCTCTTTTTCTCTCTCTCTTTTTGGTATCGATGTTTTCAAAAGGGACCGATTGATTTGTTGTTCGATGCGAGGAACGCGGGGGATTGTGGTAGGACATGGACGGAGCAGACAACGCATCTCTATCAAGTTTTCCCAACCTTTTCATAAGGGAAAACACACAAGAGAAAGAGGAAACATAGGGAGTACGAGAGAGCGAAAGTCAGCGCTAGTTATGCTGCCATATGTATATCTCATTCACTCTGCCAGGGCGCACACTAAATAAGGTTGCCCGTTACAACGAGGTATTTATAGAACATATAACATTAAGATTACAATTCATTTCAAACTACAGAGTAACCACTGGCGCTTTTGTTGTAGGTAAAGCTACTAACAAGGACTACTATGACTCAATGGAAGCCCAATTCGAGGAAAGCTTAATTAAAAAATGGCATTCCAACAGAAAAAAGACAATTAGAACAGATATGTTTACATATTACATATATACATTTGTACATATGTGTATTGAGTCGTAACGTGCCGCGACACTACAATACCCGGTACTCAGTCAGTGTATATTTATGTAATCTTATTATTTATTTCTAACTTATACAATATATAGAGCGGGGACCTGTAAATAGTAGTGCCGCACCTCACCACTTTCAGGACTGTTTTTGAGACACTTCCAGCATTCCAGTATTGAACATGTGATCCCTTTTTGAAAAGCTTAAAATGTAAGAAATAGAATCCTGATGAAGGCTCATTGCATTTGTCCCCCACCTTCTTGTTTCGCATGACTTAAGAAAAATAACCATGAAATCTGCTCTTCATAGAAATAGTAGTGCTGGGTGTAAATATTTAACAAAAATTAAGAAACAGAACAAATTAATTTAAAAAAGTCACCAGGTTTAAGGTCTCCAGAAGAGGAGACCTAAGATTTAGACTAAAAACGAGATGGAACGAGCGAGTCGCTTCTGTGGGCGCGACTCTACTTTTATACTCAGTCAGTATATGTAAATTTGAGAGCTTATAATTTGTGTAGAATTTTAAAATATTTTACATTTTACATTTTTTATACCCGTACTCAAAAAAGAGTTAATGGGTATATTAGATTTGTGGTAAAAGTGGTGTGTTAACCGAAGGAAACGTTTCCGACCCCATAAAGTATATATATACTTGATCAGCATCAATAGCCGAGTCGATAGAGCTAGGGCAACCAAATTTTGTTTCCAGGCTCATGTGATATAACACTGCTACAAGTGTATTTCAAAATTTCGCCCCGCCCCCTTCCGCCCCCACAAAGGACGAAAATCTGTGGCAGCCACAATTTTAAAGATACGATAAAACTAAAAACGCATTATCGTAGAGAATGCCCATATCTACCAGACTGCCGAATCTGAATCAGATCGGATCATAATTATAGCCAGAATGAAGAAATTAATTTTCAGTTGCTTCCCCTGCCCCCTGCTGACAACAACCAAGCAACTCATTTTCCTTTTCGCTCGCACACTCTGCCGCGTTCAGTGCGCGAGCAACCCCTAGCGGAGGAGATGTAGAATCTAAATGGAACATGTACACTCTACATGTTAGATGTAGAATAGACATTGTATATGTAGATGTAGATAGCAGATATAGCAAAAAAATTTTAAATGTAAAATTTTTTTTTTTTTAAAATTCTAAAAAATCATGCTCAAAAATGTATACACTGACTGAGTACGGGTATAAGTAGAGTCGCGTCCCCAGAAGCGACTCACACGTTCCTTCTCGTTTTTCCATACATTTCCGGACTTTTGAGAAAGTGTGGTATTGTGTTTCTATGCCGATTTAGTCTGGGGGCAATATAAGAAATTTTCTTCCCAGATTCGGCCAGCCCTTTGATCAGACCTCGATCTTCCTCCGACAAATGTGTTCCACGTGGCATTCTGCCGTAAAGTCAAAATTACAACAAACCTTTATGTCTCCAAACGTATAAAAACAAGTTTACTTACTTTCTGCTGATTAAATAACTTTTTTGGATCACACTTCTTAGCTTACCCGCACGCGATAGCACAATAATCTCAGCTTGCACATATATGTACATACTTATTGCCTTTGACAACCACGAGTTCTTACACATATTATTTAAAACGGTACAAAGAATGAAGCGCAAAGAGGAACATTGGAGTGGGAGATATTTATAATAGATAAGAGAGTAAACTTGCATACCTAGAAAAAATATACCGCTACCTTTTAAAAAAAATATAAGCAAATTAAAAAGTGCACATATACTTCTCTGAGGTATGTACATATGTATATGTACATCTATATGACCTTAATTCGGGGGAATGTCATCAGCATTTCCGATGTGTCATAAATGTATTCCACTTAACGTTTGAGTACACCCATTTCCGACTTAGATTAGTTTACTCGCTCGGATGTTTAGTTTTTTGTTGGCATTTTAAAAACCATTCATAATGTGTGTGTCTCGTTTCTGCCTACTCCAAAATTGTAGCCCACACGAATAAAAAGTGTGGTATGTATTTATACTCGTATATGTATTCATATGCATGTTCAATGAAAATATGTGCGTTTATTGTACACGGTACTCAAAGAGTATAGGGGTATATTAGATTCGGTTAGATGTACATATGTAGCATCCAGCATAAAATGTATATATGTATGTAAATATGTACATCTAAGGGAATCTTCCTAGCTTGCAAAAAGTATTTTGTTTCCGTGCCGTGTGGATGGGCGCGTTGTCCTCCTGGAAGATCCACTCATCCCCGTAAAGGTTTCCAGCAAATTCAATGAGTATTGTTTCCAACAACTCTACATACATTTCTGCATTTGTTCTGGTGGGTATAAAACAAAGTGGGGACTTCCCAGCATACCCAAATCCACCCCAAACCATTAATGATCCTCCACCGTGGTTTCGTTTATGGCAGTGCTGCCGTGGTTGCATTTTGTTGCGCCAAGACTTTTGGCAGGAGTCAGGACCGTCCATGTTATGTTTTTTTCATCCGAAAATATAAAATATAAAAATATAAATTTGTACTTCTCAGCAAATTTTAGTCGAGCGGTTATGTGGCGCGGGAAGCATATGTAACCGTTTCGTTTTGGTTTCAAAGTTGATTTATACGTCTTTTGGATATGTCAAGCTTCAGTTGACCTTTGATCTCCATGCAATACTTGTTGTTTTGAACGGCTAGACGACTGATTTGCCTCTTGCACCGTGTATCGTATCGATTTCAGTGGGTCTGCCGCTTCGCTTTATTATACCCGTACTCAAAAAAGAGTTAAGTTAGATTTGTGGTAAAAGTGGATGTGTGCAACGCAGAGAAGGAAACGTTTCCGACCCCATAAAGTATATATATTCTTGATCAGCATCAATAGCCGAGTCTATATAGCCATGTCCGTCTGTCCGTCTGTCCGTCCGTCTGTCCGTCTGTCTGTCCGTCTTTTTGAGCGCCTAGTTCTCAGAGACTATAAGAGCTAGGGCAACCAAATTTGGTGTTAATTTCAAAATTTCGCCCCGCCCCCTTCCGCCACCACAAAGGACGAAAATCTGTGGCAGGCACAATTTTAAAGATACAATAAAACGCAGTATCGTAGAGAATGCCCATATCTACCAGATTGCCGAATCTGAATCAGATCGGATCATTATTATAGCCGCAATAAAGAAATTAATTTTCAGTTGCTTCCCCAACCTCCTCGAGCACGAGACCACGCTATTCATTCTCTCTCTCGCTCCCACATACTCTGCCCTAGCAATACGCGACCTTTGCGGAGAAGATGTAGATTCTAAAATGTAGAATCTACATTGTGTATGTATAATTTACATTTTATATGTGGAATCGACATTTAGATGTAGATGTAGATAACAGATGTAGACAAAATTTAAAATCTACATAAATCATAAGCTCACAAATTTATATACTGACTGAGTACGGGTATAAGTAGAGTCGCGTCCCCAGAAGCGACTCACACGTTCCTTCTCGTTGTTATTGTTAATGGCCTATTTATACACATTAATTATAAATTAAATAAACTCAGTAACGCAAAACCAAAAAGTCAAAGAAAAGAGCATCGCTTGAGGGAAGCCATAATTTTGAGTGAAATTTTGACAAAACGGTTTCTACATATTCCTGAAAGTAATGGACTCGCCTTTTCTTTTCTTGTTGTTTTTAAGATTGTCACTGGCTGTGTCCCCAGTCCCTGCTCCCTTTCCCTCTCCATTAACACGCATGTGAATCAAATTCTTATTCTGATGCTGATGTTGCCATCGTGCGCTGTCTACCAACGCAAAGTGTGAACCTCCTAAAATTAGAAGCACTTCGAAGTACCTAAATATGTGTAAGAGATGTTTCACTTTTCATACCCCATGCAATAAAAACTAATATAAACGAGAAGGAACGTGTGAGTCGCTTTTACATCTAATATGTAGATTATAGATGTACCATTTATATTCTACATCTCCTCCGCTAGGGGTTGCTCGCTCGCGGGTTGAACGCGGCAGAGTGTGCGAGCGAGAAGGAAAATGAGTTGCATGGTCGTTGGCAGGGGAAGCAACTGAAAATTTCGTCATTCTGGCTATAATAATGATCCGATCTGATTCAGATTCGGCAATCTGGTAGATATGGGCATCCTCTACGATACTGCGTTTTATCGTATCTTTAAAATTGTGCCTGCCACAGATTTTCGTCCTTTGTGGTGGCGGAAGGGGGCGGGCGAAATTCTGAAATAAACTTGTAGCAGTGTGATATCACATAAGTCTGGAAACCAAATTTGGTTTTGCTAGCTCTTATAGTCTCTGAGATCCAGGCGCTCATCGAGACGGACAGACGGACAGACAGACAGAAATAGACTCGGCTATTGATGCTGATCAA